CTCTTTTCAAAAAAAACTTCATCTAGATTCCTTTTTTTCTTGCAATCCATGCATCCATTTCTTTGCAAATCTTTATGAGATCTTACATGTCTTGTGAGCTGAGGTGACAAGTGTTTTCTCTGTGATGAACTCGGTCCCACCGGGTTGTAATTTTCGGTTCAACCGAATTATTTCAGTGCAACTGAAGCATACAACTCGGTACCACCGATTTCACAACAGGAAAAACACCTTGCCACTTATTCCTGAATTCATTTGTTCCAGCTCCACTCTATGAATCTTGTCCTCTACCAGCAACACGTTTAACATGCTGCTTTGTTTTGTGCCTCAAGTACCAAACCCTCCTCTAACAAAAATCCAGAAGGACCCTTCTTGGAAATTGATGTCAAAGGGGGAGAGAGAGACCACATCAAAGCTTAATCACATCTATAGGGGGAGAAATACTCAAGGGGAGAAAGAGTAATTGTCAAGGACCCCAGATGCTTGGTGTTCAAGAGGAGAGAAGTCACATGTCTTTAAGAGGGGAAAGACATGTTAATATTTGGTTGTTTGCTTTAGCTCTGTTTCTTTTCTTTGAGCTCTGATTTCTGTTCCCTATCTTCTCCCAGTATCCCATGTTAGATTTAGGGGGAGTAAGACATCTAAGGGAAGGGAATCATTGAATTCATTGCACATCTTTACCTTTGGGGACATGTCTATATCAAATAGAGTACTCGGTACTCACTCTCTACATGTCATCCCAGTCTTGGTACTCTTGTGGTTTCTTTTGTTTGCTCTAGCTAGTAGGTGCATCTGTGTTATCTAACCTTGTTTATGCAGGTTCATTCCATCCTAAGCCAACTCAAGACCACAAGGTAAGTATATGCATCACATTCATGTGTATGAGGAATTCTTGCTGATGTACATACTGTTTGCAAGAAGGACTTATGAGCATGAAGGTACATTTCCCATATTCACATCTTTTTCTCTGATGCATATAGCCAAGATACATGTAACACATTGCTTTCTTTATCATGCTTATGCATTCACATGCTCCTATATTCCATATTTACATGATTGCAAACATGTAGGGGTAGCCTATGCACGTTACATGTCTTTCCAAAGCTTTACTTGTTACTCTCTATATCTTTATCTAAAGCTTTGATGTATGTTGTCATCAATTACCAAAAATGGGGAGATTGAAAGTACAAGTGCTCCCTGGGTGATTTTGGTAATTTATGTCAACATATCTCTTGTTGGACTAATACCTTTACCTAGTATATTTCAGATAAGTTCAACAATGGAGTGGCATGGACTAGAGGATGTGGAACCCCTTCTAAATGCTAAGGACAAAAGGATTGGCTCAAGCTCAAAGCACAAGACTCTACATTTTATCCACTTTAGTGATCCAAGATCACATTGAGTCTATAGGAAAAGCCAATACTATCAAGGAGGGATGAGGTGTTGCTTAATGAGGTTCTTGCTCAAAATGCTTAGTGAGATGCTCCAAAAACCCTCAACTACTTTCTCACATCCACATATGACCTAAATCAAAAGTCAAACTCGGCCCCACCGATTCTTTCTATCCGGCGCCACCGAGTTCAGCTGTCATAGCCACTGCCACAAACCCTAGTCTTTTTGGTCTCACCGATAGGGATCTCAGTCTCATCGAGATGGGATTGTAATTTCTCTGTATGTGTCCATTACCAAGATCGGTCCCACCGAGTTTGTGTAGTCGGTCCTGCCAAAATTACAATGCAAACTCTCTGTTCCCTTTCGTAACATTTTGGTCTAACCGGGATGAGCGAATCCGTCCCACCGAGTTTGCCTGACCAACTCTCTGGTTAGCTTATTACCAAAATCGGTCCCACCGAGTTTGTGTAATCGGTCTCACCGAGATTATGTTATGCCCTAACCCTAACCATATCGGTCCCACCGAGTTGACATGTCGGTCCCACCGAAAATCCTAACGGTCAAATTATTTGCTAAATCGGTCTGACCGAGTTTCCGGATTCGGTCCCACCGAGATTGGTAAGTTGTGTGTAACGGTTAGATTTTATGTGGAGGCTATATATACCCCTCCACCCACTCTTCATTCGTGGAGAGAGCCATCAGATCATGCCTACACTTCGAACTTACATTTTCTGAGAGAGAACCACTTACACTTGTGTTGAGGTCAAGATATTCCAATCCTACCATATGAATCTTGATCTCTAGCCTTCCCCAAGTTGCTTTCCACTCAAATCTTCTTTCCACCAAATCCAAATCCTGTGAGAGGGAGTTGATGTTGGGGAGACTATCATTTGAAGCACAAGAGCAAGGAGTTCATCATCAACACACCATTTGTTACTTCTTGGAGAGTGGTGTCTCCTAGATTGGCTAGGTGTCACTTGGGAGCCTCCGACAAGATTGTGGAGTTGAACCAAGGAGTTTGTAAGGGCAAGGAGATCGCCTACTTCATGAAGATCTACCCCTAGTGAGGCAAGTCCTTCATGGGCGACGGCCATGGTGGGATAGACAAGGTTGCTTCTTCGTGGACCCTTTGTGGGTGGTGTCCTCCGTGGACTCGCACAACCGTTACCCTTCGTGGGTTGAAGTCTCCATCAACGTGGATGTACGATAGCACCACCTATCGGAACCACGGCTCAAAAATCTCCGTGTCTCCAAATTGCGTTTGCACACTCCAATCCCGTCCCTTTACATTCTTGCAAGTTGCATGCTTTACTTTCCGCTGCTCATATACTCTTTGCATGCTTGCTTGATATGTATTGTGATTGTTAAACTTGTGCCAACTCCACTTC